GTAAGACATCAAGACCGATCACTTGCTGAACTTACAACTAAATATAGCTTGACCTGGTGAGCTTGGGTTATTGCTCAAACAACGAGTGTATTATTATTTTTCCATGGACGTTGACTTTTCATTTTTCATTTGGTTTGTATTTTTCACGTTTAAAACACTATATTTCTTTCGGGTATGCTCTTTCTCATTGTTTGATGGTTTCTCATGAAATTAAATGTCATAATGTAACACAGTCATCATGACAAATCACTGAATGTTCAATTTTGAAATACAGAACAAACTCGTTTTGGAGGCAACAACTCAAGAAATACACGTTACATTTAAATGAATTTTCGTGCACTCATTTGTCATGATGTTTAACATGAACAGATTTAATTTCATAAGAAAAGGTCAAACAATCAAGCTATTATGACCGTAACAATACAGGGTTTTAATCGCGACAAATACAATCCTAATGGAAGTCAACGTGGATTTTTAGCGTTTCAAACACTAGATTGTTACGATCATATTATATTTATAGCTCCACAGTTTCTCACGCCATTCGAACAACTTCTGCTACACAACGCGAAGACTAATTGCACGAATTTTCAATTGAATCCATTACGTATTTCTTGAGTAATTCATCGGAAACGAGATTGTTCTTTTTGTCCAATTTTGCAGCATACGCGTAGATGCGTTGTTGAGACCACTATTTATGTGGCGCGCCCTCTATTGGACGAATCTTAAAATATTCTACGGCTTGCCGATGTACGTCTTGGCGGTGCGAGACCACAGTTTTATTCAGCGCGCCCTTTCTCGAAAGATTTTGTTTAGTTGTTGGACGGTTTCTCACGAAATTTAATCTTCTCATGTAAGACATCAAGACCGATCACTTGCTGAACTTACAACTAAATATAGCTTGACCTGGTGAGCTTGGGTTATTGCTCAAACAAATAGTGTATTATTATTTTTCCATGGACGTTGACTTTTCATTTTTCATTTGGTTTGTATTTTTCACTTTTAAACACTATATTTCTTTCGAGTATGCTCTTTCTCATTGTTTGATGGTTTCTCATGAAATTAAATCTCATAATGTAACACAGTCATCATGACAAATCACTGAATATTCAATTTTAAAATACAAAACAAACTAGCACAGAAATCCTGCGCTATCCCTGTCAGCACAGGAGTAATCCTCTCTGATTGTTTTAGGCTTTTTGCAAAAGCCGTAATTTCTAAGTGTCATGTAAAAATGTCTGTTGTAGTGTTGGCAATTCCCATGACAATAATGAGTGGCTAATCTACTAAGGGCACTTACTTCACTATTATACAAACCTACACACTATAGCAGAAACTAGCGTGAAACCCTAAACAGGGGTGGATCTAGCTTTGGCTGGGGGGGGGGAGGGGTGCGATGTCAGGTATGGGTGGGGATCTGGAAAATGTTTCGATTAACCTCCTTCCTTCAAATTTCATAATCCTTTTTCCTCATTAACAAAGTAAGCCCCCTAGCCTGCATTATAACTAATTCGTCCTTTGTCACGATATTTAATACTTGATGAAATATTCTTCTAAAAAAATAAAACAATTTAAAAAACAACAACAGTATATCCTCCTAGCCAAGGTGGTTAATATCCTCATTTATTCCTTTCACAAAACACCCCCCCCCCTAGACAAGATGGGTAGTCTCCTCCATAATTCACTTTTAAAAAAATATCCTCCTAGCCAAGAATAGTCTTCTCCATAAATCCCTTCTAAAACAAATATCTTCCTAACCATGATGGTTCGTCTCCTCCATAATTCCCTTCTTAAATAACATCCTACCGGCCAAGATGGTTATCTCCTCCACGATTCCCTTCTAAAAATATTCTCCTAGCAAGGATGGTTGGTCTTCTCCATATATTTTCCTTTGAAAAAGAAATCCTCCTAGCCAAAATATTGAATAAGTCTTCTCCATAATTCCCTTCTAAAAAATATTCTCTTAGCCACGATGGTTAGTCTATTCCATAATTCCCTTCTAATAAAAAAAACCCTCCGAGCCAAGCTGGTTAGTCTTCTCTATAGTTCCCTTCTAAAAAATATCCTCTTAGCCACGATGGTTAGTCTATTCCATAATTCCCTTCTAAAAAAAAAACCCTCCAAGCCAAGCTGGTTAGTCTCCTCCCTATTCTCAAACATATCCTCCTAGCCAAGATGGTCAATTTCCTCCATAATTCCCTTTAAAACATATCCTCCTATGCAAGATGGTTAGTCTACTCAATAATTCCCTCCTGATATATCCTCAAGCTCAAGCACCCCCCCCTCCCCCCACAGTGAAAACTATAAACTTTATATTATTTTTGTGTAAGTTGGTCAGTAGTGCAGAATGATTCACATGTTAACTAATGCATGCAAAATAGAGAAAAAAAGTAATTTTTTTATGACTATCATCCCACCCTATATTTTTAGGCTATAGAAATGTCAATCCCCCCAAAACAGATTTTATACCTACCCTACCACACAGTTGTTATTTATATGTTATAGAAAACACCACACTTTTTGTTCTTGGTTGGCCTTATTATTTTTATTTATGTTTCAGTGTCCAATTCATTTCATGGAGCCTTTCAGAGATCTCTCAGGTTATTCTGGATGGCTGCATGTCTAAGGAAACACATGCTTTATGTCAAAGGGAAATAATGCTCTGTATAATTTTTGTTTGCGAACCTCCGCCTCCACCTCCCATCACCCCCAGGCTTGATCCTACTCATCGATCACCTCTCTCCATGAAATCCAACTGAGAGAAATGCAAGATGCGCGTCTTTGCCACCACGAGCAAGAAGGAGCAAATGGACAGGGAGAAGATGAACATGGCCAACATGCTCAGCAAGTTCTGCATCAACTGCTCGGACGTGGAGGTCATCCCAGACCTGAACAAGAACCCCAAGGACTGAGAGCCTGAGACGGTTCAAGGAGCTGTCCAAACCCTGGATGCTGGATGAGGAAGCAGGAGAGACCACGGAGAAGTTTCCTTGGAAGATCAGCAAGGAGGAAGTCACTAAGCTCAACGAGAAGGTAGAATCTCCTTCTTGCGCTCAAGCACCCCCCCCCCCTCCACAGAGAAAACTATAAACGAGGGCCTTTTGGGCGCCATCGTGGCTTATAAATGCTGGTACCAAATACACGATAACCAGCATGAGTGAACCAGTGAAGTGTCCCTCATTCCGGCTTCTGCTAGTTTGACTATAAAGCGCCCTCTTTTGTCCATGCATGTAGACAATACACTTAAAGCTTTCCCAGTATCCACTTTACGCTTAGTCCCTGGTTTGTGTGTTTTTAAGTCCAGTCTTGCAACATCTGTTAATTGTGTCCAACCTTTGACATTCTGGTGGGTGATTTTCAATAATGAGATTGATCACTTTCAATCCATTTTTCCGTACAACTCTCAGTTCATTTGATTTGCCAAGTGCATGGAACTCGACTTTATTAAACATCAATAAATCACTCCATTTTTTCGCCTGAAATCTTTCTTTTTCTTTCAGACCAACAGACAGATGCGGATCCGTGAATTGCTTCTCCAACATTCCCAGGAGGCTCAGCTCATTGTCATGTAAGTACACAAAGCCACTACTAACTCAATAGACTCAATTTCATGGTTTAAGCACACAATTCTGTGCTGATGATCTAGCACACTAGCACAGAAATCCTGCGCTATCCCTGTAAGCACAGAAGTTACCCCGTGTAACTGATTGTTTACACTTTTGTAAAAGCCGTAATTTTTAAGTGTCATGCAAAAATGTCTGTTGTAGTGTTGGCAATTCCCATGAAAATAATGAGTGGCTAATTTAAGGGCACCTACTTCACAATGACGCAAACCTACTCACTATAGCAGAAACTAGCGTGAAATCCTAAACAGGGGTGGATCTATCTTTGGCTGGGGGGTTGCGATGTCAGGTATGGGGGGGGGGTCTGGAAAATGTTTAGATTATTTGTGCCGGGTGGGGGGGGGGGGTGTGGGGTGACCGCCTATAGATCAACCACTGTAAAACAACACGCTCGCTATTTGAGAGCTGTGAAAATTACTTTTAATGTCTATAGAGATTGCACGATTTTAAGCCAGGTTGTTTTTTATGGGAGGGGGGGGGGTCATTTAGACATGAAAAGGGCACTCGCCAATTCGTGCTGAAGGAACATGTAGATAGGTTTTTTTTCACTAGTCACCCGGCCTCCGTAAAATCCAAAAGCGGGGTGTAGGGGGACGGGGCTGGGTACCATCTTCCTATGGGGTGCTTTTCAAACCGGCGATAATGGCCACTATCGGACAATTAACCTATCACGGTGCAACTGCGTCAACGCAGCTTGTGAAATATTGTCTAAACATGATATACAAATGGACGCGGTACGCCAAAATCTGAGACAAACAAAAATTAATGTACAAAATTCCATGAGCCGTTTCGCGGATACCGCCATCTTTGAAATGGGGGGGGGGGCATTACAATGAAAAGACATCCCATCATTCTCAGCTACAGTTGCATGATGAGACGTATTTTCATTGTAATGCCTCCCCCCCCCCCCCCCCTCGAAAAAAATAATTCAAAGATGGCGGTATCCGAAAAACGGCTTATAGAGTTGTCTAAGGGGGCGTGGTTAACTCTCGCAAACGGCGGTAGGTCCATGGGTGGCGCTTTTCATGGCGGCACAATTGCTGACGTTTACACGAAATACCAAAAATTCTTTACAAGCCGCTGGCGAAACAAGAAACTTTTTAAACAAAACTAAGGACACTTGTGTAAAAACTAAAAAGTTACTTGTGTAAAAAGGGCACTCTTTACAGAATACTCGGTGGGGGGGGGGGGGGGGGGTGTTAACCGCTGGTGCAAAAAAATGGGGGCGGGGTGAGCAATAGATCTAACAGTGCTTGTGACCCAGTCTTACCGAGCTACTGTGGTCACCTGATCAAAAGTGGTGATCTGATTGGTCAATGCGCACTTTTTGATTGACATGCAGGAAGGGTCCATTATAACCTTTTCTTTGATTTCTTGCAGGAGTCTACCTATTCCCAGGAAGCGTACTTGTTCAGCTGACATGTACATGTGCTGGCTGGAGACATTATCCAAGGATATGCTGTCAGCAGGGGCGTACTTAATTGCATCATTTGACCAAATATGGCATCCAAATAAAAGTCGATACAACGAATTTCACTTGAAATACCATAAAGTGACAAAGGACAATTCCAACCAGTTGAAAGACCCTCCTCACTTGAATGGAATTTGTGCTTTGTTTTGATTGATTTCGTTGAGATTGTTTCTTTACCATCTAACAGGCTCACACTTTCACTGATGTTTTCAAAGTGAGTTTCTTGAATGCAATCAAGTAATGCTGATTAAGAACAATAAAAGACTTCAAATAATTTGGAGTCTTTTAATCAAGAAACACTTGTCGCACTTTTTCGGGCTTTAAAAACAACAGCCAACTCCACTTTTTTCATTACTGTAGGCACGTTTCTGTTTCAACTGAAAGTAATGAAAATCATGTTTTTTTCATAACGAAGCCAAGCGAAAAAAAGAGAGTATTTTTAAACAATGGCGGTGCTTTTGGTAATCCTCAGAATGAGGTTTTATGCATACTGTTTTCATAGCAAGTCAATTGTTACTTTTACATAATTCTCACATATTATAACATTTAAAATAATGCAATCATTTAATAAAAACCAGTGTGTTCTAATTGCTGTGAATAGCATTAGAATATTTCAAACAATTGTTAATCCAAATGCCAAGCTTAAAGTCTATAAGAAAATCAGATTTAATCACTCGAGACTTTTTTCGTGACATGAAATTGAAACATGAAATTGATACATGCATGGGATTGATTTAAATGACATCATCTGTGCTGGGCATACAGGGAAAATAAGGTGAAGAAAATAACATGTTACAGTAAACACCCTAAAATTATCCAGGTAGGTAGCAAAATATTTTGTTTGTCTGTATGTCTTTTATACTTTGTTTGCTTCAATTAGGATACAGTTATTGTGTTTAATTAATCTGTTTTAAATACCCAATACTACAAACAAGTTGCATTTATTTTCGGGAAAAGAAACACGTTATTTTATATGTTGACCAAATGTGGCAATAAAAAAAAATGGCGGTCAGAAACATGGCCTAAAAAATCCAGGTTGGTCGAGATAAACACATTTTTTTTTTAGCAGTTAACATTTCTGGATACATATGGTGGCACTGCTTTTATATTGCAAATCTTTTGTTCTAAAAAAAATAATGACCCAGCTTGCTTTGAAAAAATATTCCATCAAAATACTTCTCGATAGGCCTACAATGGGTCCAAAAAAAAATCGTTGTCAAAAAACTTAACGCATACTTTTCACTATATCTCAGTACTCATGCATATAAAGCTAAATATTTTTGTTTTGCAAAAATAAAAAAATGGCAAATCCATTGTTGTAGGCTATACAGATTGGCGCATGCGCAATGCAAAACCATTAATAATAATATCTTAATGTTTGTGACATTGTCATTAAACATTATTTCTTTTATTTCATTGGTTATTGTTTCGGCAAAATGGAAAGCGATTTAAAAAAATCAGCAACACGATGCTCGTGTATCTCTATGTGTAGGATTGTGTTTATTCGGGGTAAAGGAGGAAGCCACTGAATGAGGTGTAGTGATAGGAACTACTATACGCCCTACCGTGCATTGTGAGATACATCGTATCTCCACGCTGCAGAACCACCACCGCGCTCCCAGACACCTGCTCCTCGTGACTTGAATCACCGCTACCGCCAGCGACAACCGCGTCGCCGTTCTTCCGGAGATGAACCCACAGGCCGCTGCTGGAAGAAGATTTGCGCACAGAAAACATGAACACGTAGGTGCCCGGCACACCACATGTGAACGCGCCGGTCTCAAGATCGAAAGTGGTACCCGGCAGAAGCGTCTCGGTCTCCTCAAAGGGCAAACGGGTGTCGACACTCGTAGAGGCATCCGAGAGGCTCGTCCTCACCACGGTGAATGCTACCCGCTGGTTGGAGTCGTCTGGTGTCTCCCCTGGCTCACCCTTTTGACCTTTGACACCAGTCAGACCGGTTTTTCCGACTGAACCTTTAGGCCCAGTGTCACCTCGAGGGCCAATCGGCCCGATCTGACCGTGACCATCGATGCCTGCATCACCCTTTAGTCCCCTCTCACCCGGTATTCCTCGCTCACCCGGAGGCCCAAACGGTCCTGGCTGACCTGCATCACCCTTTGACCCTTGTAAAATTCCTACAATTGCAGCTGTTTCCTGGCAGCACGTTTGGCCCGCCTGAGACGCAGGACCATCACCGTCCAAGGGAACTGGCCCAGTAACAGAAGCTCGGAGGTTGACGGAGTTACCCAGAAGGAGGGCGATTGAAAGAACGGTTGCCAAGAAGATCTTCATTCTGTACAGAATAACAATGATTAAACTGAAACAAATCAGGTGAGAATTGTTTTCAATAAAATAGTTTTTAAAATAGGGAAGAGTAGAGAAAAATATTGAGGTTTGATAAAAAGGAGAACTAGTCTAAAATTCATGACAATCCGCCGTCAGATTTGAAGACAAAAAACACCCCAAAAACATGAGATTGGAGGAATTATTGTTCAAAGAATGTTTTCTTTGTTATATAACAGTGGCGTATGAGGGGTCAAGGGGCTAACATTTATGAAAAGCCTAGTTTATAAAACCGGTTGTCATGGCAACCCATCGAATCGAATTTTTTTTATTTCGGCCGTCAATAAGAGTTAGGAAAGGTCACCAAAAATGCATTCCGATAGGGCGAAGCGTTCCGGAGCTGTAGTATTTTTTTTTTTTGGGGGGGGGGGAGGCGGAGCACATCTTGCCCCTTCCCCGGTCCTGATAGAATCATTAATTAAACCTCACCACACCCACCTCGATGGTTCGTTCTTGAAGATCAGGTCCAAGAAGAGATCACAAGGAATTCAGTGTAGGCTGAAAAAACATACAAACGAATACTGGTTAAGATTACATTTTAATACTATTTTATTATCAATTAAGATAAATGAGTGAGATTTTTTTCTCATTAGGATACATTGCCACTCAAAAACAGGATACTCACCAAATTATTAGGGTCAAGTAATTAAAATATTAGGTTTTCTCGGCCGAATTCGTCAAGAAAAACAACCTGTTTTAATGTCGCATTGTTCAATTTCTCTCGAATTGACTGATTCGTGAAATAAGCTTTCAATTTGTTTACACGTTATTATTGAAACGATTTTTTTTTCAAATTAATATTTGTGAAGGCATGTATCTTTTTTTGAGACACTAGTAACTCGGTCAAAAGTCTGTTGGCATTCTAAGCTTTCGTTGCACTTGTCCAGGCAAATTTACTTTTAACTCCAGTTCACTATGAGTTTTAAAGCAGAAATGAACTTTTCATTCACTATGAATTTTTATAGGGTTTCCCGCCCAATTTCATACTTTGCTAATAATAATAATAATAATAATAATAAAACATTTTTTTCAAAATCGCATAAAACATGCAGACCTTTTCACACCCGGTTGAATTTAGCGAAAGCTCAACATGTTTCAGGGTATTCTTCATTCACGCGTGAAAAGTAAGCAGCAAATTACGTGACATGCGCATTGAATTTCTTGTGATTTGAATATCAGTCTCGCTCGGGAATTCACTTTGATGCATACGTTTACAAAAGTAACACAGTTCAATGATATTTGGAAGTTGTATTAGCAAGATATTGTGTTATAGTGATACAACAGAGTATAAAATGACACGGCTTTTGAAAAGTTTGGATTAAGGAATGTACAGCTATTTCAAAGATTGGAATGCCTGGGAAGGGAATATGAAAAAAAAGCAGAACAGAACTGTATCAATGTAAAGTGTCAAAGTGATAGAAGGAAATACATTTAGAACACTCGCCGATAAAATACTATGTCAAAATACAGGTTTTTATGTAAGGACAATTAAGTAATTAGTTTGTTAATTGTTGTAATCACTCTGTGGAAAGAAAAAAAAATCGTATAGGCCTAGGCCCTAATTTTTTTGTAGCCAATACAATTGGCGAATTGCGAATTGCAAATTAAATAGACTCCTTATTCCATTGCACTTTCGTTGAAAATGGATACTTTCTCTTACAGATTCGCCTATACTCGGTGCAAGATCGAAAACCAACAAAAGAAATGGATTTTCTTTTGCACGAAAAAGTTGCCTACACTCTTTGGTGGGTGTAAATATTAAAAAAAATATCGAACTGCGACCTTTTTCAATGTAATGAACAGTCTCTCAGATTGGACGAACAAGTTGCGAAATTATGTGGGAAAAGCTATATGTTATGATTCCCGAACGTGGTGAACAATCAAAAACGAATTACAAAGTGATCAACGATCAAGAAAGAAATAGGACAATGGTTACGAACACAATTCCGATTTAAAAAAAAAATAAAAGAAGACAAATTCCAAAGAATCGGATAACACAGCAGCTAAATATTGGTGTGATCAATATTTGTTTTCATCTTAGTTCTCTTTTTTGACAAACTGATGTACGTCCATAAAAAAAAATGTAAGGGAAATTTCAGCGTGTATCCGCCATTAGTTCGAGGCACCCTGATGAGTTTGACGAGGAATTTGCAAAGACTGCAGGCCAAAATGTCTGGCATAGTTCTACGGTGCGTGTTATAGGGAGGGAATTTCACTCGAGCGATGTTTTCTGTTAACATTTTGACCAAAAGGTGTATAAATATAGAAAAAAAATACAGTCTCCCACCAAAATCACTGCTCTGTTCTGAGGATTGAGTCAGGAAAGTGTACGTCAAATAACAGACACTCACCTCGATGTAACGTTCTTGAATTCTATCACGAAGGAAATCCTCAGCACTCAGCAGATTGCGAGCTGGAAATAATACCAACGAAAATGAGTCATTGAAAATCTGCTGGGAGAAATCTTGGGGGCTGTTGGGGGAGGCATAGCTGAATTTCACAAGTAAAACACCCCCAGATCAAAATCTCTGTCGGGCGAAATGTGATCTGGATGGATAATATATTTTTTAAGCGGAATGCGTCCTGCATGCAACGGCCCTGAACAGACCCACGCACGAGCAACAATATTCATGTCTTCTTTGAAGAATTTAATATTTTCGAATCAAACGCAGTAACTACTAAAAAACAAATGCCCAGATTTTCTGAGAGAAATCTGTATGCAAAAAGAATTTAAGGCCACGTAGGATAATTTGCAATTGCCCGGAAAAGTACATTTAATGACAGAAACCTTGCAATGCTGAGAGTG